CAAGTGTGGTAAAGCTAAGTGTCGTAGAGTCAAGTGTGGTAAAGTCAAGTGTACTTGACCCCATGTATTCTCTATGTATTTTCTCTGCGAGGCTCCGCACGGAAGAACCCTTCGCGATGCTTTCGGGAATATTGCGCCCCTGCTGGTGAGGAATCGGCCCTTGACATCTCTTTTGAAGCCTTTGCCTCCCTTGCCCTTCCAAACCCCGCTCTCCCCATTGGGGGCCGGCAAAGGTGGGTCGGCAGCTTGTCCCTAAGCCTCTGCAACCTTGCGAGCCCGTGCCCAAACCGGCGCCCCTTGACGGGGCCTTGCTTGTTCTTACCCGAGGCCATCCGAATGGCCGGATCCCGAACGTGCTGGTCCCAGCACTCCTTGTCGTGCGCCGCCACCCTGAACACGTGCTCCCACGCGCGGCCTGGCTGAAACCTGGGTTTAGCCCGTGGTCGTGAAGTGCTCGGCGCGGCACCGGTCCTCTGCCACCACAAGCAGGTGCCAGACCTGCGGGTAGCGAATCACCAGGTCTCGGAAGCGGTCCCTGTAGAGATCAAAGGTGTTCTGGGTGACCATGGGGATCCTATCGCCCCACGCGTCCCCGACCTCGAACATAAGGAGGGCGTTCTCGACCACACTCCATGATGCAAGCCAGGAGTCGTAGGTCAAAGGTCCCGTGACCTCCACCGTCCTAAACGATCCTTCCGGNNGCGAAGCGGTGCTGGAAGCCGACGAAGAGGGCAAAGTCCGCGCAGGGGGACATGTCCAAGTCCACCAGCCTGACCTTCCGGACAGGGTGTCTCCGGTCTGACTGGTGCCCCTTCCAGGACTTTGAGTGAAGTGAAGTACCCATCGATTTCCGTCCGGTTGAGCTCAGGAACCTCGACCTCGTCGGCTTGGTCCACGACACTGCTGACCTTGATCTTCCTCTTGGCCGCGGGCGGGGGCCTCCACAATAACCTCACCTGCGTCGACTCCACGACCGTTAGGCCCCTCTGACTAGCAAAGACATGATCACGGCGACGCGCGCGGCATCAACCGAAGAGCATCTGCCGGGATGTTGCCCAAGATCAACATTACCCAAGGCAACGTCGACTGCCGCCCAAGCACCAGCATCGAGGCCCACCCAGGTTATGGCTTGGGCCACCGTGGTAATGCCTGCGAGCTGGGCGTCTGTGGGCAAGTCGGAAGCCATGGCTCGAGAAAACGG